AGTTATGGTATGACACCACAGCACTCTACCCAGGATGATAGAGTGAGAATCTGTCTCAAAAAAAAAAGGAAAATGGGTTGGAAAATATGCAGAAATTAAATAACATACCCTTAAACAATCAATGGATCAAACACAAATTCACAAAATAAATTATAAAATATATTAAGATTAAATGAAAACAACAATTTAAAAAATACCAAAATTTATAGATGCAGTGAAAGTAGTAGGAGGAGGAAAATTTATACTTACCAGATGCCTATGTTAATAAAGGAAAAAGATCTGAAATCAATAACCTAACTTTATACCACATGGAACTAGAAAAAGAAAAACTCAAAGTTGTCAGAAGGAAAAGAACAAAGATTAAAGCAGAGATAAGCAAAATAGAGAATAAAGAAAATAAACTCATCAATCCCAGTAGTTCTTTAAAAATATCAACAAAATCTACATTCTTTGCACTACATAGCCTATAGAAAAAAAAGAAGACTCAGGTTACTAAATTCAGAATGAAAATGGAGGCATTACTACTAATTTTGCAGAAATATAAAGGATTTTAAGAGAATACTATGAACAAATGAAAGCCAACAAATTTGATAATATTAATAAAATGTGAAAACTCCTAGAAACAAACTACAAAAACCAACTCAAGAAGAAATGGAAAATCAGCTCAGCGCCCATAGCTCAGTGGTTAGGGCACTAGCCACATACACTGGGGCTGGCGAGTTCAAACCTAGCCTGGGCCTGCTAAAAATGACAACAACAACAACAACAAATAGCCAGGCAGGCGCCTGTAGTCCCAACTACTTGGGAGGCTGAGGCAAGAGAATCGCTTAAGCAAGCCAAAGAGTTTGAGGTTGCTGTGAGCTGTGACATCATGGCACTTTACCAGGTGACAAAGTGAGATTCTGTCTCAAAGAAATAAACAAACAAACCAAAAAAAAAACCTCTCAAGAAAAAAAAGAAAAAAAAAACCAGAATCAAATCATTTCATTGGTAAATTCTACCATCCATTTAAAGAATTAACACAAATACTCCCCAGTTCTTCCAAAAAATCTAAGAGGAAGCAACACTTTCAAGACATCAAGCCATAGACACTACAAGAAACAAAAACTACAGGCCAAAATTCCTATGACTATAGATCAATATAGACAAAAAGATCCTCAACAAAATACTAGCAAACTGAACCAAGAGGCATGTTAAAAAGGTTATACCCCACATCCAAATGGAATTTACTGAGTTAGGGGAAGGTGTTTCACTCTGTTGGTGTGTGGTAGACAAGCACTTTCCTTTATTCTGCCATCCTGTTTCCTGTTGATATTTTCAATCATTCAAGTATGTAGGTCTGAGGCCTCCCTAAAGTTCAGACAGTGGTAGACAGTTTGATATTCCTAATTGCTAATTTTCCATTTGACTTGTAAATCAGAAAAACATAATACATTTTAAACTATCAAAAATTCTGTTCAATATTGATTATAACCAGTGACTAAGTTAATTAAGGCATACATCTTTTAATCTAGTATTATTGTGTATCTTTTTTCTTGTATATAACCTACCTGAAGTAAATTTCTATCTACCCTATTTCTATTATAATGGCCTCATAGCATTTCCCTTCTCCAGGTCCCTTTTATACCCCCAGTTCATTTTATGAAATAATAGCTAATATTAAATACTATGAATTTAACATTATAACAAATTCATGTAATAAGAGGAAGGTATAATTATCTTCAACAACTGGGAAAAACTAATTCAGAAAGGACAGTAATTGGCCCGCAAAAATTCTAGACTCTTAGTTTGGAAGTAATAGAATATTAATAAATCATGGTGCATATGGAAGGGGGGCTGGCAATGATTATGGGGAAATTAAACAGGCTTATAAAACTCTTACCACGAAAAGTCATTTTGAAAATAATCAAACATGGAAAGATAGTTTTAAAATTGTTAACAGTTTTGCCTCTGGAAATAGATCTTATGATCTTCTTTCTGAAGAAAATGATGAATGAGGGACCATCAGTGATAACCCTGGGCATAGTAAGGCAATAACTGGGAAAGCAAACATCATTTACGTGTAGTTTTTCTTTAATTATAAAATAAATATACAGAAAGATACAGAGAATAAGAACTGACCCATATACATACAACCAGCTTTTATCAAATCATAAGAACTGGCCATACAATGTTGGCTTATTTTTAAGACAAATAAATAATTAAAGGTAATTTCCTTTGTATCCTTTCCCAATCTCATTTTTCTTCCTTCCTACAGGTCACCACTGTTTTAAACTTGACAATTCTTTTCAGGAATGCTTTTCCATTCTATGAAGTATCTAGCAATGGAAAATACACATAACATTGATTGGCTTGTTTTCAAACTTTATATAAATAAGTGGTACTATATCATACAAAATACTCTTTACCTCAATTTCATTAATACGATTTTTGAGCCTTACCTATGTTGGTAGAAGTATTTCTAGTTATTCATTTTAGTTTGCATTCTAGCTTATATTCAGACTAAGTTTAGAAAATTTTCAAATTTTCATTCTCACTAACAATGCTGCAGTAGACCATCATGTGCATCTCTCTGAAATATGAGAAGAGACTGCGTAGAGCAGGGGTCCTCAAACTTTTTAAACAGGGTGCCAGTTCACTGTCCCTCAGACCTTTGGAGGGCCGGACTGCAGGCTCCGGGACAAGTCGGCTGCTAAGCAGGACAGGCAGCAGTGGCAAAAACACCCGGCAGGCCGGATAAATGTCCTAGGTGGGCCACGTGTGGCCCACGGGATGTAGTTTGAGGATGCCTGGTGTAGAGTTTTAAGTGTAGAATTGCTGGGTCAAAGAATGAATACAGGGTTGGGTGTGGTGGCTCAAGCCTGTAATCCCAGCACTTTGGAACGCTGAGGCTAAAGGATTGCTTGAAACCAGGAGTACAAGATCAGCCTGGGCAATATACAAGACAGAATATCTTTAAAAATTAGCTGGGGATGATGCTGTATACTTGTAGCACAAGCTACTTGAGAGGCTGAGGCAGGAGGATTGCCTGAAGCCCAGAAGTTTGAGGCTACAGTGAGCTATGATCATGCTACTGCACGGCAGTCTGGGCAAGATAATGAGACCCTGTCTCTAAAATAAATAAATAAATAAATAAATAATGAAAAAAAATAAGAGTATTTTATTTAAAAATAAAAGTATGATGAATATGACCACTTCCCATAGCATAATATGAATGTTTCTACTGTTCCATGTCTTTTCAGTAATTGGTACTATGGTGCTTTTGCCAGTGTCACAATTTTGAAAATAGTTTATTGTTTTTATGTTACACTTCTCTTCCTTTTAGTGATGCATACAGTTATTCTAATACACCCAAATCCAACCTTTCTACTGGTGAGAACCATCATTATATGTAAACTTTCTACAAATACATTAGATTTTAGTAATTTTTTTTTTTTTTTGGCTGGGGCTGGGTTTGAACCCACCACCTCTGGCATATGGGGCCAGCGCCCTACTCAAGCCACAGATGCCGCCCCAAGATTTTATTAATTTTTTTGCTGTTCTTAAGAATCTATAAACAAATTTCAGAACAAACTTGTGAAATTCAAGGTCAAAAAGGTCCATTGAATAATTTTGGCTGGAATTGCAGTGAACTTGTGAATTAGGAAGAATTGCCAACTTACTGTCTTCAGTCTCTTCAGACAAAGCTATATAATGCTCCTATGTTTATTTTGTTGTGCTTCAGTTTTAGGGGTTTAGAAAACCTATTATTTTATATTTTATTAATATAACTTTCTCAGCCTCTGGACTTAAACTCCATGAGAATGCAGTTTTTGTACTGCTTGTTTTGCTACCTCATACTAGATATAAGGTTTCATTCATTCAGTGAATATTGACCCACTGAGTGTCTGGTGCCATCTGGCAATATTCACTGAATGAATGAATGAAAGCCTATACTTGTAGCTTTCCTACCTCAATCCCCTTTTGAGTTCAGTTATACAAACACTGGATAAAAAATCTCAGAAACTACATTCTTTTCTGTAGCATGGAACAATTTACATACTTTCAAAATTATCTGAATTCACTCATATGATTATATGGGTCTGATACCTTTTTATGGAACCTTATGTATTTCTATGTTAATTGGGTTTTTAAAATTTAATTGTGGTCTAATCTTTCCTTGATCTAAATATGAGTTCTGCATTCTTCCCAGGGGATTATGCTTTCCTTATTTTAATTGGTTTAACCAATTCACATTCTCTTCAGAAACTTCCTAATGCTGGTAACAAGTGTTACAGTTCTACTATCTACATCTACATCAATTACTCACCTAGAGTGCAAAGACTCCCATTTATGGTTCTAAAATGTTTAGGTTTTCCCAATTTTGATCTGGTGCTTCCCAGGGATGCTTTCCCTTATCCAATAAAGAATCTTGTTTTAGCTGAGAGGAGTAAATGAGTCAATACATGTTGATTATATAGAACGGAGCCTGGTGGATAACAGGCATTCTATCCATGTTAGCTATTATTATTTACTGAATATCTGCTATAGTTCACAATATGAAGTACTTTACATGCAAATTTCTCATTTAATATGCATCAATCTACAGCAGACACTATTTCATTTAATAGTCACATGTCCACAGCACAGTATCCTTTATTATCCCTATTTTAAGAATTAAAGAAAACCCTTAGGTTTAGGGAAGTCAACCAAGTTGCTCAAAGTCACAAAATGCCATAGCAGTGGTAGAGCTCTGATCTTCAGAGTCTAGCTCTCAATACTGGGAAGCGGCTAGTGCCCAGAGAAGGAAACTGGAATAAAATAAGGCTGACTGGTATATAAGAACCACATTTGGAGCGCCTCATCAACAATTCTAAAGACTGTGGATGTTAGTCTGAGAACAGCAGCAAGCAAAAAAGTTTTATATGGAAGTAATAACATATTATCATACTTTATAAAGATCAGTTGGGAGTGCATTGTACGAAATGGATTTAAAGGCAGCAAAAATGGATACAGGAAGACCTGTTAGAAAGCTGTATCAGTAATTTAAGTGAGATGAATCATAAACTAGAGTGACAACATTAACTATAGAAAAGAGCATAAATTCCAGAAATATTTAGAAGATAGGATCTACAGGACTTGGTGATTGACAGGATTGGGTGGTGACAGCGACTCGCCAATGTGAATTCTCTGATGATGAGCAAGGTGTGCATGCTGTCTGAAGGTTTTCTTGCATTCCTTACATTCATAAGGTCTCTCGCCAGTATGAATTCGCTGATGCTGGGCAAGGGATCCACAGTAACTAAAAGCCTTTCCACAAACATTACATTCATAAGGTTTTTCTCCAGTATGAACTCTCTGATGTTGGGTAAGGGATGAGTCATTGCTAAAAGCCTTTCCACATTTAACACATTCATAGGGTTTCTCTCCAGTATGAACTCTTTGATGTTGAGCAAGGTAAGCAATCTGGCTAAATGCTTTCCTACATTCCTGACATTTATAAGGTTTTTCTCCAGTATGAATTCTCTGATGTTGAGCAAGGTGTGAGTTCTGGCTGAAGGCCTTCCCACATTCCTTACACTCATAGGGTCTCTCCCCAGTATGTATTCTTTGATGTACAGTAAGGTATGCACGAAGGCTAAATGCTTTCCCACAGACATTACATTCATAAGGTTTTTCTCCAGTATGAACTCTCTGGTGTTGAGCAATGGATGATCTATTGCTAAAGGCTTTCCCACATTCAATACATTCATAGGGTTTCTCTCCAGTATGAACTCTCTGATGTTGAGCAAGGTAGGCAAACTGGCTGAAGGCTTTCCTACAGACCTTACATTCATAAGGTTTTTCTCCAGTATGAACTCTCAGATGTTGAACTAGATGTGCATTCTGACTAAAGGCTTTCCTACATTCTTTACATTCATAGGGTTTCTCTCCGGTATGAATCCTCTGATGTTGAACAAGATTTGATCTCTGGCTGAAAGCTTTCCCACATTCCACACATTTATAGGGTTTCTCTCCAGTATGAATTCTTTGATGAAGAGTAAGGGATGAACTCTGGCTGAAGACCTTTTCACAGTCATTACATTTTAAAAGTTTCTTCTCTACACAGACACTCTTAGGCTTAATGGCCATTAAAGTCTTTTTAAAGCTTTTCTTATGTATGTCATGTTTATCTACTTTCTCCTCTTTGGGGATAATCTGTTGTGTATGCAGTAGTATGTTTTGATGAAAACTTCCCCAGGATTTGTTATATTCTTGTTCTCTTTCATTAACAATGGCTTCTTCACGAGTGATTATCTCTTCCTTGAAACATGTCTTCTGATTCCCTGGTCGCCTCTCAAAATGGCCCTCATATTTCCACTCTTCTCTCAAACTGGAGTACTCAAGGCCATAACTTGTAAGTTTTTCTATTATTTTCCGGGATTGTTCTTCTAAAGGGTCCTGCTTTGGGGCCAATTCTTCAGTTTCACTTATAGGTTCCCAGCCTGAAAAGTAGCAATACGAAAAAAATGTCTCCTCTATTAAGTACCAGGAAGTATATTTATGAAAGTACATTTATATGGGCAGTGCCTGTGGCTCAAAGGAGTAAGGCGCCGGCCCCATATGCTGGAGGTGGTGGGTTCAAACCCAGCCCTGGCTAAAAAATGCAAAAAAAAAAAAAAAAAGAAAGTACATTTATAAAGTAAAATATGTGAACTTAATAGTAAAAACAACCCACAATAACACCTTTGTAGTTTTGAAGTGTGCAAGAAGAGAAACTGAAACTGAAAGGTCATACAGAAACTTGAGAAGAAATTATTAGAATTATAAGAAAATCGACTTGGCACCTGTAGCTCAAGCTGCTAAGGTGCCAGCCACATACATCAGAGTTGGCAGGTTCGAATCCAGCCTGGGCCTGCCAAACAACAACAACTACAACCAAAAAATAGCTGAGTGCTGTGGCGGGCACCTGTAGTCCCATCTACTTAGGAGGCTGAGGCAAGAGAATCACTTAAGCCCAGGAGATGGAGGTTGCTGTGAGCTGTGATGCCACAGCACTCTACCCAGGGCGACAGCTTGAGGCTCTGTCTCAAAAAAAAGAATTATAAGAAAATCAGTAAGGTAAGTATCAGGGCAAGAAGGAATTATGGATGTGGCTGGACTCAGTTATAATTTTATGCCTGTATTAATAATATACATACTAAAATGGTCTCCATTTTGATAGAGACTTCATTGAAGAGCATTCAAGAGCATTCATTGAAAAAATATTTACCTTGTGCCAGATACTGTTCTAAGTGCTTGCATTTTATAAAACACAGGTCCTTACTTTCATAGATCTTATTTTCTTTGAAGATACCGAAAATAAATGATAAACAAGTAAATTTTATGGTATTTAGAAGGCACTAAGTACTCAAAAAAAAAGGGGGGGGGAAGGGAATATATGAGGAGTACTGGCAGAGCTAAAGCTGGGGACCATTAATAAGTTACTAACACTTGGCTCGGCACCTGTGGCTCAAGCCGCTAAGGCGCCAGCCACATACACCTAAGGTGGCGGGTTTGAATCCCCAGCCCGG